TGTCAGGATGGGGATAGGACTTTTGAGGAAAGATAAAGGAAGGCTCATATCTGATGGTTAGGAGATGGCTAGGTTATATAATTCTGATTGTTCTTCAGTATTTACTAATGAAGATATAAGCAATATATAAGTTAGGGGGGATCTGATTGAGGTGTTTAATATTGTAAAGGGAATTGATAGTGTTGATGCATCATCTTTTTTGATATTTAACAATGAGAATAGTAGGACCAGTGGCCACAAATATAAATTTTGGCAAGGTAGGAGTCACCTTCAGCTAAGACATTTTCATTTTTCTAACAGGGTCATTGGCCTTTGGAATGGGTTGCCTTCAAATGTTTGGAGGCAGTAAGTTTAAATGAGTTTAAGAGAAAGCTTGATAAGCATATGATTGATAAGGGCTAGCTTTGAGGTGTTTCTTTTTATAGTTTTAGTTCAGTTTAGGGGATGTGACAGCCTTGATGGACGAATAGGCCCCTTGTTTTCCCTAAACATTATTTTATGTTAAAATTGCTGAAAATAATGTAATTCATTATATGGACTCCAATTTTAGTGAATGGCATGTAAACAAATCTAAATAATATGTTTTAGGGAAAGAATATGTAATGTAACTGATATTCAGTTTTAAAACTGCTAATTAAAATTAAATTATAATCAGAGCAAGCTACCTATTTAGAGCAAAACTGAAAATATCAACCTGGTAATGAGTATAGTTAATGAAATGCTTTATCAGTTGGGTACTCTTGCTGTTAATATTTTTGGCTAAAATCCCTATGATATCCTACAAGGTTTATCCAGCATAGGAGATTTAGGTTAGTCCTAAATAAATATGTTAAGCTAATAGTGAAAACAATCTTTATAATGATGTATATTACATATTATAGCCAATACTCTTAATGAAAGTAACAATAAAGAAATAATAGAGTATACTTTACTTATGGAACACACAAATGCTAATTATTGGCTCAAATATTGTCATATATTTATTTTTTGTTGAACATTGTAACATAAGTATAACTGCATATAAGCCAAACTTTCCACAACCTTCCCTAAAAATGTCTTGTGGCCAATGAAAACCCATTAAACATCTCCAACACTTTAGAGGAGAGTGGCACCTGAGACAGATTACTATGACACATGCTATTGCTTAGATGTGGAGTCAAGTAGCAGGACTTTACCAGTAGTACAGCCAAAAACTAATGTTTATGAAGATGCAAAATAATAAGAAATTAAGTTAATACCTGAATCATATAAGAAATACAATATTGGTTCTGTAATGAATATATAAAATGTTAAATATGTGTAAAAATTACTTCTACTTTAACAAACCTATGTCATTTAAAAAAAAAAACATTGAGCAGACAAAAAGAAGCAATAAATAAAAGTTATATTTTCTGTAAAAGTAGAAATGTAAAGTGATAAGCCTCAAGAAAATCCAGTAGTAATAATAAAATGTAGGATACAGAGCATTTATTTACCAGAATTATTAAAGAGTCTTGAAACTTGATGAAATTCTTTTAATTTTATCAATAGGAAGACTAGTGTAAAGATTACTGAAATCAAAAGTTTCTATTGTTTTAGCCTAAAAGCCTTTAATTTTCTCATTACATTCATGGAGTTACTGATGATAATGAGCTAGTTAATGCCAGTTCTTTCTCTGTTAATATTACAGTATTTTTGTATATCCTCTTTAATGTATGTCAGACTATTTCTATTGACTAATTCTTAGTCATATTTTTTTAGCTCCAAAGCTAAACCTGTATTTGAATCACTGTAGTATTTTATATAGTTTTGGAATCCAGAATAATTTAAGTATCACATTATGAGATTAATCAGAAAGTACTCCAATGTCTGATAAAATGATAATGTGTTTCTGTATTATATGGTAAATATAATTCAGTTTGATGCTCATAGTCTGATTTTTCTGATGCATTAGTTTTAATTCGTACTTGTTGCATGAGTGATATTGTATTAGAAAGTTTCCTTTACTGACACAAAACAATAATTTATCAAAATTATTATAATACCTTGAAATTGTTGATGAGAGATATTTTTTTAAATTTGATCTGTAAGAAAAACTAGTGTAAAGATCTGAAATCAAATATTTCTATTGTTACAGCTTAAGCCTTTAATTTTCTCATTACATTCGCTAGAATTACCATTGATAATTAACAGATTAATTCTCTGATAACATTACAGTATTTTTTTTATGCTGTATATTTCAGACCATTACCTGTTAGAATTAACAAATCCTTAGTTGTAGCTTTTATAGCCATAGCAACTATGTACGTGCAGTTAACGTAAAATTAATTTGTTTCACATTAGATATTATATTATTTATCGGTTTGAAATCTTGTCGTTTTGCAAAGATAAACGTATTGAACTCCATGAACTTTTAGCTTGAATCTGATAGCTATCAAAACGAGGCTGTCTTGGACATATATTGGTTAGGATTTATGGGTTGTCACGTTTGATAAATTACACTGTTGGCTTGTTGATTTGCAAGTTTTTTACATAAAGAATGTGAAACATATTGTTCATTGTTTTTAAGAAATGCCAACCATGTATTTTGGACTTCTTGCATAGTTGCACGTTGATCATGAGTATTCAACAGTGGTATAAGTCCAGAGAAAATCTCATTCAAGATCGATAATAACCTGCATAGCTCACCAGAAAAAGTAAATTCTTATTAAACTTTAAAATTGACCTTTTACCAAGTTTGGTTTGAAACTTGTAGTGTTTTTTTTTATATTTATTTTCGTTTTAACTGCTTTTGAAAAATATAACTTCATTTAATAATTTAAAATGAAATTCTACCAAGTTTAATCCTAACAAGTTAGATTAGTTTTTGTTGAAATATTTTTCATTTCTTAATACATAGATTTATTTTTATTCTGAATTCAGGTTTGAATAAAAACTAATTATTTAACATTAAATTTGGATTGTATCAATTGTAGAACTTGTTTAGTGATTAATTTAAATCTTGGAATTAGATTAGAAAACAAGTAACATTTTAATCATTCTGAATTTTTATTTTAAAAAATTAAAAAAGTAAAAGTTAAAGAGAAAAATATTAATAAAAAAGGTGAAAGTTCAACAGGTTAATACCTAAACACCTGAAAATATCAACATTATTATGTATTTCAAAGAAGTACTAAAGGTGATTGTTTTGATTGAAGTTATTATGCATAATTAGTCAGAAGTAGCGACTTTCTGTAATCACACATCTGTAGCTGAATTGTTTGATGTTGGGCCCTTCCGTCAAAAAACATCAAGTGTTTGCTGTGTTCTGCAGTCATCTGACTTCTTGAGTTTAGAATGTGCTTATGGAACTTTCTTATCAGCATTCAAAATGATGGAAAGTCCTATAATAAAATGTAATATTTTCAATTTTCTTTCATACAGTATTTTACAACAAACTTTTGTTCATTTCACAATCAAATTTTATGAACTTATTTAACCCAAAACTTTATACTATTTAACCATTTTGTAAGTTCATTCGAAGTTTCATGCAATTTGGTTTAGTATTTTCACTGTAAGAAGAAAAATAATGTAGAGAAATCAGTTACACCCTCCCAGTTTGTAAAGGGTCAAGACACATTTTATTATTGAGTCCCTTTCCTATATTTTTTCCCATCCAATTAATTTATGTTCATGATGCAGATCCTTACATTAATGTGACCACTAAGTTACAATCCCACAGAATGTCTTAATTCAGAACTCTTACTACTAAAGCAGAAACAGTAAAAAAAACAGATAACATGGTTTATTCAAAAACTGTGGACACACTGATACAAAACTTATGTTAAGAAACAAAAATTGTATAAAACACTGGTATTAAAAAGATGCCAGTAAAATTTCTGGCCGTTGTTGTTTTTAATTTTTTTTTCTTTTATCCTAGCTTTTAGACCAATGTTTCCATAACTTTTAAATAAATCCAGTATCACTTTTTATAGTTGCTAATATGTTTTATATACCATGTTCCACAGATTTTTATGTACATGTTTCTTTAATTTTTAGTTTTAATGTGTAATATTTGATCATTAATTCCTTGTTATAAAACTAGACTTTTCTGTTTTATTTTTAAGTATTTTGCTTATCATCTGTAAGTAAAGTTTTAGAACATATACAGTTTTTATGTATTATGTCACTGTTCTGAGGCACCAGACTTTTAAGTTGCATTGACCATGTTCTGCATGTGATAATGAGAACGTACTTTATGATCTTTTTATGCCTTCTTTTGAAGAGACACACTTCAATGTGGCACACATATGAAGGACATTTGATTACAAAACTGAACATAATGTGACCACAACTGTTATGGTGTTTTTAATTTTAAAAACAGCACTTCTGAACCAATCTTTTAAACTTTCTGTAAGTTTTACTTTTTAGAGATGTCTTTTGTGCAATTTTGTTTTTAGTATTGTATTTTAGATAATGAAAATTTTAACAGATTGTCAATATTATTTCTTTAAATTGACAACTACCTGAAGTCACATGCTATTTATGTTATTATTTATAACCTATTTTATTTATGTGATTACTTATAAATAAAAATAGTTTGTATTTAAGTAATTATAAAAATATATAAAATAAAGATTTGTTAAGTTTACATTTTAAGTCATAATGGTTTGATGCCACTAAAATTTAGGGAAAATAATACAAAAATGTTAGTAAGCAGGATTACTTGTAATAGAAAAACTAGTTTTATGTGCATTAGTATATTTTTGAAGAATCTGTATAAAGTATTATTCATAATGTCGTAACTTCTAGGCAAAATAGGGTTTTTATCAAAAACATAAAAGCTGATAATCAAACATCAAAATTTTAATTTACCTTGCGATTAACAATGACCTATTTGTGCATTGAATTCATGTAGAATCATTAAGAGTACTTAGAAACAAGCTTAGTTTTTATTCTTTATATGTAATGATTAAAATATGAATAGTCATAATCCTCATTTACTGGATTTGGTGTTTAAAAAACTAAAATTATGAGTGACTTTATTCTTACCTATTTCATTATGTGCTAGGTAGGAGCTGTGGTTGTGGGGTTTGATCAACATGTAAGCTATCCTAAGCTAGTCAAAGCTGCCAGTTACCTCAAGAATCCTGATTGTATATTTATAGCCACCAATGCTGATGAGAAGTTCCCAACAGAGATGAAGCATTTAGTGATTCCTGGTTAGAAAACTTGCTTATTATGCTTCTTCTAAATTTTCATGAAAAACTAACATATCTATATGCTTAATTAATAGATTTTAATATCAACTATTCATTTTATTTTTTTCATTGGCATTTGGCCCAACTCAATTGTGAAAATATTTAAGAAAAATTTTATTTGTTGTCATCTAAATTCTGAATAGCTTTGCCCACTAATTTTGTGGTCATGTTTATCTTTGTTTTGTATACTTGTTTAAAAGCAATCTCATTTACACAGGGTTAAAAGTAACTGACTAAAAGTATAGATTTGTAAATTTTTAGTTTGTCCCTAATTCTTAAACTTGCCACATGTTGATTGCAAAATAAATGAAAATATTTAGAAAAGGTACATCTAAAGAAATTTATGTTGGCAATTTAAAAATTAATCAGTACAAAAATAATTTATTCTTTTATGAGTGATGCTTTATTGAGATTGACACTTAAGTATATTTTTTTTGTTAGTAGAAATCAATCTTTATCATCAATCCCAAAAAACTTGATAAAAGCAATAAAGTAGAATATTTATGTCTTAATCTGTTATTATCATATCCCATTGTCTTTAAGTTGTATTTTACCAAAAATTTCTAGATTATGTATTATAAGATTTTTCACGTTATATTATTATACTTCTTCATATTTTGACCTTTGTTTCTCTGTCATGATTGTACTTACAAATGTATTTTTATTTTAAATTTTCAGTTTAGGTTATTACATGTAATGGTTGAGTACTTGTTTTCATTTATTTGAGTTTATATCTGCTTTAAATTTGTGTGCCTTCATTACTTTTTAAATATAGAGTCATCTAGTTGCAGTTTGTGCAAGTCAGTCTCAATAAGTTGATCTCTATTGTTTTGCAGGAACAGGAACCTTTGTTCGAGCTGTAGAAACTGTGTCTGGAAGGGCTCCTATTATTCTTGGAAAACCAGAGAAGTTTATGTATGACTGCATTAAATATGAATTTCCAGATTTAGATCCATCAAAAGCCATTATGATTGGAGACCGGTAGGTATTTTTACTTAATTTGGGGTTTGTAACGTACATGTAGGTCAACTTGTTATTTACATTTGGTTGACTTTTATAAATTTGGCTTTTTTTGTCAATTATCTAAAATCAGCTTCATAACCTTTAAGATCGCTACTAAGGTAGGATGTATTTAAAAAGAAAAATCAAACAAGATAAAAATCTATTTATGCAGAAAAGTTTGAAACTTTCCCAAATTAATGGATGCTCAGGTCACTCAGAGTGCATACTTATAAACAAATTTTCAAAATGTTATTAAAAAATCTAATTCTAATTATATATAACCACTTCCTTACTCAAATATATTTCAGAATCGATATTTTAATATTATGTTCATAATATTACTTCTTAATTAAAATTTAAAAAAATATTCAAACTTTCATTCGGGTGTGTCTGAACTGTTAACATTGCACTTTAGTTGCTGGCTTCTGGGCTTACATTTATTTTTCCCAGTCAAATATCGATATTTTTTATTAGCTTGACACTTATTTTATGACTAGTGAAAGTACTAGCTTTGCTCCGGTTATTAGGTTGATAGCGTGTGTATTCTGAACCCATTTTAGCATAAAAGTATAACTTGTATACTTTTGTTGCTAAGCAACATGACATAAAAGCCATTGTTGGAATGCATTGTCACCAAAACACACTGGATTTTCTATATATTAAAAGTTGTTATATAAGGAACCACTTCTATGTGTTTTTTTGCTATCTTGCCTCATTAAAAAGATGTGCATGCATGCAAGCACATATGTGAATAAGTAATACCCAGGTGCACACCCTCAGCGTCCACTTAGTATGGGTGCAAAATTTCAGGTATCTGGGTTCTTTTCTCTTGGAGCTACGGTGGTCACACACATGCCCTTTTATTATTATAGATTATACACTTTCTGTTAATCCAACTGTAAATTATTGATTAAAACCATGGTTATTGCACTTGTTCTCATCTTTGAATCTAAATATTAATACTTCTCTGTGCAATTTAATTATGCTTTTGAAAATAGTGAGGTTCAGTGCAGTCAAGGGTAATGAAGAAACCTCAAGATCAAGTTTTGAAGTACTATCTTTTAATTAGAGACTTGAGATTTTTTTTATAATTGCCAATGATGATTTTTTCATCATTATTTCTTTTTGGAAGCTACAGGAATATTTTCTCTTGACAAAACATCAGGTAAGGATAGAAATTTTGGAAGTATGCAACGGCAGACTCTGGACGATACAAAACATTGTATCAACTGTCAGATTTGCTATATTACTAAGCACAGGAAGTCACTTGTAATTGTTGAAACATTAATGTAGCAAGCAACAAGATAAATATTTTATTCTATAACAAATTAAGCTATTTTGTTGCTATTTATTTTGAAGATGGTTGTAGAAAAGCAATTAAAAGATTGTTAGAAATACTGAAACTATTGGTATAGAAAAACCTTACATACTTCATTTTATCATCTATAAACCCATTTTATGAATCTTAAAAATATAGATGTGTCAGTGTATTTTTGCCAAAACCAAATAAATATTAGTGTCATCCTTGAGAATCCTTTTCACTGAAGCATTTATAATCATCATCATAGAAGCTGTGCAGCAGAGGTTCATACATTTTCCCAACCTATGACCCACTTGAGTAGCCAGGCAGTTTTCTTGGACCCCTTCTTAACTGTGGTGGTGATGGTTATTTCCCTAGTTTAGTACAATCAAGTTTAGTAATATAAAATTTCCTAAGATTGTTTTTTTTATACATAGTTTTATATTTTACTGTGTCTTGTTCTGCGACCCACAGTTTGGGAACTGCTTCTGCAGAGAAAAAGATTTGTAGGATAGAGATGAATGGTTATCAGAAATAGTTACTTTACACAATTGAAATCTACTTAGCTTATGTTCTGTAAATAAAAATAAAATGAAAAAAATAGGCAAATGTGATAACCTGAGGTGGTAATAAGCATATATTTGTAAATTCTGCTAAAATTCCAAACAATGATGTTTTTGCCCAAAGAAAAAAAAAAGCTTTTTCAGAAAAACACAGATCAAACCAAAAGAAATAAAGATTCTTTTTGACTATATTGTATTTTATTATGTGTACATGAGACTTCCTGCCCTTGCACACTGTATTCTTTTTCCCACTTGTGCCTAGGTTAACCCAGAGCTTGTAAAATAAGACAGTTTCCAAATAGTATTGGTATTTCTAATTAGAAGTACTTCCTTAAAATAAAAAAATATCTATGATGATAATATGTGAAAAATGTAATGACTTTTACAAACCAAACAAATATATCAATTTTACTTTTTAAACTTGGCATGTGTTTATGCAGTAACATTAGTGGGAACAAAATTCTAATTACCTGAACTTTTACATTTTGTACTTTAATATGGATTTTAAGGTGAATTAGTACTTTTTTTTCTTAATTTGAACTATGAAATGAAGTGCAAAGTAGAAACACTAGGTATTTAGCATTTAGTTTTGTTAATTCCAAGTCAGATAAGTTTTAAAAAAGTATTGTGAATATAAAAGAAAGTTGCTTTATAAACTTCCATGTTTATCCATTGAATAAAACTTTTTTGAGAGTATGTTTGTATTTGTAAAATAAATGTTGATGATGTGATGAAAATAGTTATAAACAAACATATATTTGGGAATTATTATAACGGTATCCAAAAAAGTGGAAAACATGCAATTATTACAAATGATTTCTAAAATATTTAAAAATATTTTATATCCATATTTATTTGAATACATTTAAATGAAAGTACAAAATATTTTCATTTTCTTATCCAGAAAGGTCCATTTATTGAGTAAAATCCTCATAATTCCCTACTTTTTACAAATTTAATTTAAATTAATAAAGTTAGGTTGTATTAAATTAATGGTGTTATGGATAGGTACATTTACTTTTGACCTACATGTTTCCTTTCAGGCACATTATGCTACTATATTACTAGGAAAAATAAAATTATTTTATGAAAATTTTATATTTCAATGTATCTAAAAACGTTTATGAATTTCTCTGAATATAAATGATAGACCAACATGTACTTTGCTTGAAGATATAAAACTTCATTTTTCTAGGCTTAACACTGACATCCTTCTAGGGAAGACCACTGGATTGCGAACATTGCTGGTTTTGACAGGTATCAGTGATCTTAATGAAGTTGAAAGATGCAGTAATAGCGACTGTGAGAATGATCAAAAGATGGTTCCTGATTATTATCTCCCAAGCTTAGCTGACCTGGGACAAATGATGGGAGTATTCTGATAAAATGTTCGAGTAGCAAATGTGACTTTTTTGCTGCCAAGTTGATCTACATTACACTGTAGTTTTTACCTTCTTTTTTCTATTTATCTGGAAGGTATTTTTTGCTGTTACTGTTTAATAGCATTATGATTTCATCACAAGTTTATTATCAGCAGTAAATCACCTAAATTATTAAACATATCTGTATACAGTGATGTTTTTGTTAGCCTATTAAAATATATTATACCTCCTTAAAGTGCAGGGAAGTATAGGTCTTTCGTGGGCAAATTAAAGTTTACCATAGCACATCAGTCATGTGTTTAGTGTGTAGTTATATCAACTTTATTGTGATAGTGAAAATACTAGTGTTTTATAGAGAACATGCTATTTAATTTATAGGCCAGATGCATGACTGTTCCGATTTCATCATAAGCTAAAGTTATGAAATATATAAATATGTTGAAATAAAACGCATGAATTCTAAAAAAAATCTTTGCAACTGGTATTTCTTATTTACATCAAATGACTGTAGAAATCAAGTTTGACCTAATAGTGTTACATTTAGGTTTTATAAGAAGTTTATAGCACATTTAATATTTCAATTAATAAAACAAAAGAAAATGACAGTGATGTAGCTCCACCAACTTCACAGGATTATAGTGTATAAACACACACATTATTCACTCAACTCATCAGTTAGACAAAATACAAAACCCTGTAACTTGAGCACTTTTGAAAGGGCTTGGGTTACAGGGTTTTATCTTTCAATTTTTGGACCTACATGCTTTCCTATCACCTTAACCCAACTTTTACCAAGTGTTAAAGAATACCCAAGGTATGAAAAAAAAAGCATTCCACAAAGGTTTTCAAATTCTGACAAACATGACATCACAAATTTATAGCCATTAAAATGTTTTATTTAAAAATTAAACAGTTTTTTATTAAATATAAATACTGATGTAACTCAAGTTTCTTTTACTTTATTAATATGAGATCAGAAAGTTTACACTTATATTAATTTAGGTTGTGAAGATAACATTTTTCATTCATTATATGCTTAAATACAATTTTTTTATTCCTGTTAATTATAATTTAAGCAAGCATTTTTTAAACTATTTTTTTTACCACTAACAAATTCACATCATTGAGGGATTCACTCCTTACAAAACTATCAATATTTGTTTGGAAGCTTTAATAGCATATTTTAATTTTACACATGTCCTAATTCTATAGCATATTGTTTAATATCTCTTAATGTCATTTCAGTCCACAGAAAGATCCAGTGTGACTTTTATGCTTGTTTTACATTAATTCATCATAGAAACTTGTTTGTCATAACATTTAATTCAGCCAAAGATGAGTCTGGTTACACAGGTGCATGAACTAAAAGGATACAATTAATACAAGGTCAAACAGTTCTGAAGTTACATTTTAATTGAGTAAGCACAGCCCACTACAAAACTTAACTAACAAGCCTAATATGGTTTGATTATTCTACTAAGAATATTAGATAACCGATTATACATTGACTGAAATACTGCTTGCTAAGAGTACTTCACATTTGTGCATTAAAGTTGTCATTGAACCTGTAATTCTGAAGAATCAAGTTATATTTTAAAACTGATTTTTCTTAAGTTAATACCTTTCAAGTCACCAAGTATGTTTGTTTGAAATCCTACAATCTACTAAATATACCATAAAATTTTAAATAAGAGTGTGTTGTTTATATTTTGTAATTTATAAAATTATGATTATGATGAACTAATAAAATATTCAAATCAAACTGCCAAGGAGGTACAATTTGTATAGTTTGTAATGTTTTTTAAACCTTTAAGAAACCTGTAACACAAAATAATGGAGACATTCTTTTAAAATATTATTGTGCTGCTTTTATTCAAAGCACTAGTGTATAAACTAGAAGCACTACAAAGTTGAAAGTGCACAATAATTTATTAAAAATGACACCAGGCTTGTTGCACAAGTTTACACTTAGGTGTAACTTCCATGCAATCATCATCAGGTTTATTGTGAACTTTAAACATTGTCTTGCTTACTTTATGCATAAGACCCATCTTTTATCATATTCACTAGTCTATAATTATGTTTAATTAATATATAATACAATACACATAATTTAAGTTTTATCACTTCCTAATTATAATTATTGTAAGAAATTCACATGACATAGTTGGAAAAACAATCACACTTTATTACTTTAAATATAAGTGAATGTTTTTGTATTTTTCTCATAAATAACCTACTTTATAATAACATAAAACATGTTTATCAGTACAAGGCTGAAAAAAAAGTAAAGAAAAACACACAAGTGCTATCTTACAAAGTGGATTTACTGAGTACTTGGGTTTCAACTGCAAGAATCTATAAAAACAAACAAATTTACTATCCCCCTCAATTGAAGACAACAGTTTTAGACCAGCATCTAAGTGAACCAAGTTTTTATTTCAGAAACTTTACATAAGTGCTGCAGTGAAATGAAAGGTACAGCCTAGTTGTAATAAAAATTGGAATGGTCATGCCTCATGAAAAACGTTTTGAATAACATCACTTTGTAATCATATTACCAATTAAAATAAGTCTAATCAATTTCTAACCTCCTAAAATTCAGTTACCACCAGCTGAAACATTTTAGTACACTGCACAAACAATGTTGATTTAACAGTATTACAAAATTACAAGCTGAAATTTAGTACACAAAACAGATTTCTAAGACATGCCAGAAATATCATTAGATTCCCTAGGTGGCAGTAAAACTGCGAGCATACTGTGTTTTACAAGTTGCTGTTGACATAATTGTCTAAAGTCAGCTCCTGGGATACCTTTTCAAGTAAGATGTTCTTTTTTACAAATAAAGACAAAGATGTAGAGAAAGATATCCTGAAAAAGCTGATACTTATTAGTAATGTTCTCATTCTTGCTCCTCTCCAAGATTATGCTTTACTTTAGAGAAATCAAAATCTTCTCCAGTTCCTCTGCGAAAAATATCCAAAACATCCAAGCATGTGGTCTCAAAGTGAGTTGTTGCATCAAAAGTCTCTGAGATGAATACCTAAAAAAATTACCCAAAATCAGACTTAACATCTGTCCAAATATTAGTTTTTCAAAAAACTAATTCAACTATCAATATCAAAGCTAATTTCACATTGGAAAACTTAACAAAAATAACAACATCTCACAACATACTAACTTTTTAACACTGATGGGACAGTTTTTAAGACTGCTGTACACAAGAGTATTAATTAGTATGTCAAGTATTTTGTTTCCAATTTTAATGATTTGGTTTCCAACCTGGAGGTTTACCAAACACAACAGGACTACCATGCAAGGTTAGGTGATTTCAGTCAATGCACTTTAATGGCCCAAACCTGCAATTTCTTCACTGTGATTTATATGCTGTTGATATATAAATGTGTGTGTATATATGCAAGCATGGGGCACAGACTGTATAATGTGCATGAAGTGGAGGCTTCAGGCCAAAACAATTGGAGGCCAATGACCTGACTCGTTTATAAAATGTATTTGATCTCGACCATAAAAACTGAAGATTACCTTTACCAATTAGACAACACTGTTTAAAGAGCTCATCATATAAAGTAAGGATTTTATGCAGTTTTTATATAAAAAAATACATATTACATTGAAGTTATAAAAAGGGAAAAAATATTATAAGTGCATATTTTTTACTTCAGGATGCAAAATATCAGAAGTGAAATACATTATAATTTGATATTAGCAACACTTTGTTACAAAGCTTTTTCTTGTTTTCCTATACCAATAAACATTTTTATTACACACACACACAATTTAAAATATATTTTAATCCTGCATTT